GATCATGACCTGAGCCGAAGGCAGATGCTTAACGACTGAGCCACCCAGGTGCCCCTCAATTTGTCTTCTTTAAATGTAGTTTTATTCTACTTTTAAAAATCCTTTATGTGTTAACAATGTCAAATGAAAAAGTGGATTATCTATTTAAATATTTATGACCCTTGACAGGGTATTTTGTGTGATTACTGTCACATAAATGACTGAAATGAGAGAATGACTGCAGACCCCTATATCCAATAATCACAATAAAAAAGACAGGGAGGGCCACCTGGGTGGCTCAGTCGTTAAGCGTCTGCCTTTGGCTCAGGTCATGATCCCAGGGCCCTGGGATCGAGCACCTCATCGGGCTTCTCGCTCTGCGGGAGGCCTGCTTCCCCTTCTCCCACTCCCCCTGCTTGTGTTCCCTCTCTCGCTGTATCTATCTCTGTCAAATGAATAAATAAAAAAATCTTAAAAAAAAAAAAAGACAAGGAGACGGTTAACAAGTAGCATTCGTTATGGACTGCGTGTTTGTGTCCCCTCCTAAAACTCTTATGTTGAAATCCTAACCCCCTAGTTATAGGAGATGGGGCCTTTGGGAGGTAGTTAGGTTTCGATAAAGTCATGAGGGTAGAGCCCCCAGGATGGATTAGTGTCCTTATAAGAAGAGCAAGAAACTAAAGCTTGCTATCCACCACGTGAGGACATAGCAAGAAGACGGCTGTCTGCAAACCAGGAAGGGCCCTCACTGGAACCCAACCAGGCTGGCACCCTGATCTCAGAATTCCCAGCCTCCATAACTGACAAATCTCCGTTGTTTAAGCCATGCAGTCTTTGGTATTTTTGTTACAGCGGCCCAAGCTAAGACAGCAATGAACTGTTCCCCAAAGTTAAGTATGGGTGTGGATTCCTGCTCCAGAGTCAGTATCACCTAATATAGAAGATTCAAGACCCAGTTCTCTGTCAGAACCTTCCAGCAACTCTCCTCCAGGAGCCAGGTGCTGATTGGTCTTGAATTCCTCACTCTCTTTTTCTCAATGGTAAATCATCACTTATGCCAACTAAATGGAAAAGTCCTGCCTAACCATTGGAGAATCTCAGTAAGAGGTGCTCCTGAAATAATCGCAGAGCTCCTACTACAAGGTAGAAGGCATAAAATTGAGACCCACCCACCCACAGGGAGGGTTAAAAAAAATCACTTCATAATATTGGCACTTAGCACATTAATGTGCTACATGCATTTCAAAGCTGTTTATCTCTTTACCAGGATCTATTTCCTCCACCCCCAGCTCCCACTCTTCTACTCTCTGCTTCTGTGACTTTGACTTTTTTAGGTTCCACATATAAGTGAGATCATACAGTATTTGTCTTTCTGTGTCTGGCTTACTTCACTTAGCATTATACCCTCCAGGTTCATCTATGTTGTTGCAAATGGATTTCCTTCTTTTACAGGGCAGAAAAAAGTGTGTGTGTGTGTGTGTGTGTGTGATATTCTTTATCCATTCATCTGTCAGTGGACACTTACAGTGTTTCCATATCTTGGCTATTAATGCTGCAACTGATATGGGAGTATAGATAGCTCCTCAAAATCCTGATTTTATTTCCTTTGGATGTATACCCAGAAGTGCAATTGCTGAATCACATGATAGTTCTATTTTTAATTTCTTGAGGAATCTGCATACTGTTTTTCATAGCGGCTGCACCAGTTTACATTCCTACTTACTTTACTCCACATTCTCACCAACACTTCTTACTTCTTGTCTTTCTGATGACAGCCTCTCTAACAGGTGTAAGGTGATACCTCTTTGTGGTTATAATTTGTGTCTTCTGATTTTCCTGACAATCAGTGATGTCGAGCACCTTTTCATCTACCTGTTGACCATTTCATTTATAAGACGAATGAGTTGTGGGGATCTAATGCACAGCATGGTGACTAGAGTGAATCATACTGTGTTGTATACTTGAAATTTGCTAATAGAGTAGAACTTAAGTGTCCTCACCACACACCAAAAAGGTAACAATTTGAAGTGATGGATGTGTTAATGAGTTTGATTGCAGTCATTATTTCACAATGTGTAGATGTATCAAGTCATCACATTGTACACCATAAATATAAACAATTTTTATTTGTAAATTATTCCTCAATAAAGTTAGGAAGAAAAGATGGGGTGCCTGGGTGGCTCAGATGGTTAAGCGTCTGCCTTCGGCTCAGGTCATGATCCCAGGGTCCTGGGATCGAGTCCCGCATCGGGCTCCCTGCT